TTCAACTCAAGAACCAGAAAAGCTAGAAGGCTGAAACTTTGGGGATATGTGCCTACACCATGCGCGGCCCTTCCGTTTTAATTTCATCCTCCACGAACACCTGGATGCCGCGTGCGGGAGCTTTAAAAAAATATGCAAATTTTTTTGGCGAGAAAACGATCTCGGGAACCACACGAAATAAGGGGCTGAAACTTTGTAGGGATATTCCCTGTGCATGTACTAGCTAAAGGTTTCAAATTCAGCCCCCAGGTGTTCATGGTACTCAGGTAAGAGCGTATGAAAGTTTTAGGGGGAAAATTGCTAACTCGGGTATCAGGAAAGCTAGAGAGCAGAAATTTTGGGAGAATGTCCCCTATCCAAGTACAACTCAAATATTTCAAATTCAGCCCTAAACTATGCGTGGTACTCAAGTAAGGGCTTATGAAAGATTCTGCAGGAAAATTACTAACTCGGCAACCAGAAGAGCTGGAAGGCTGAAGTTTTAAGAGGATGTTCCCTGTCCACGTGCCTGGGTTTTTTTCAAAAATAATGTGGTAGTGCTGAATTTTTTACTAGTTTAGAAGAACAAACTTAGTTGTCAAATGGTTTCACTAAAATCTTGTGGCCTTGGCGCATTTTTAAATAGCACAGCTATTCATGCTCCATTCCGAAGATTTAAACTGTTCCAGTGAGGTAGCCCGTTTTCGTTAGTAAATTGGTACAGACATTTGGCAGAGAGTGAAAATTAACAGTCAGCTTGCTTCTAAAACAGCTCTCAGATAAGAGAGCCATTGGCAGTCTTGCCGGAATGTGATTATTGCTGGCAAATGCTATCACTCGGCTGCTTCCGATTACTTCCATCTCTCACGGATAATGACTGCTACAAAAGGGACTTTGACTTTTTGAAGAATGAACTTAAGTTTCATTATGAAGTGACACCAGTGAATGGGTTCTAGGACACTTCAGGTTTAATTATTTTCAACTTTTGCAGATCTGTTGACGAGGATATCGCTTCAGCTTCGAAGAAGCGTAAACAGTTCAAATTGGATGAGTTTTCGGAGCAGAATGGTAGCTTGCACACCTATGAGGTTCATAGTTTTTTTACCAGAGTACTAGAAAAAAAAAAAAAACCGTTAATAATTTTGTGTGGAAAAGTCAATTGCTGATTTACTTGTGTAACCTCCCAATTAAACTCTCTCATTGAGTGCTCATTTTTTGCCAAAGTAGATCGTTCCTTCTCTTGATTCAGTTGGCGTCAATCTAGTCAAATTTTAAAAAATTCAAATTGAAAAAATTCGGAATATTCAAATTTCAAGCTCTTTTTACTAAATATTTTGCCTTTTCAGACAGATTTTTTTACCTTTTTGGCGAAAATCTGCTTTTGCTTTTTCAGCTTTTTCCCACACAAATGATTTTGACCTTGGAATAATGGAGCAGTTTTAGCGCATATTTTCTAGAGCCTATGCCCTCATTTTGAGAGGAAAGGAAAGAGGTTTTTCAATGCTGTTCTAGTCACACGAAAGATAATTTCATTGCGTCGTATTTCGGGAAGTCCATTACTGCTCTGAGCAAAGCCCACCTCTGTAAAGTGCTAATAAACTTCTCTGTGCACTGAACTTTTCCCCTGTGTATCGTCTTTTTTTTCGGTTGCTCGTTCTATGATGCCCGGATGTATGACGAATGCAGTGCAGCTGGTGATTGAGAGGCAGTTCCGACATTCTTATTTTTTACGGTCTTTTGCATTTTTTGAATCCTTTTTTTGATGCAATTTTATGCATTGCAGATGAATTTTACTGTAAGTGGACATTTTCTGGGAAAAACAGCAGTAAAAATACGTTTACTGGGCGCAGATGAGGTGCTATCGGACGAAGACCGATCTCTTCACGAAATACCAAAAGTGAGTCTTCCATTAACGCTACCTATTTTGCTCATGGAACCCGCATCGCCTTGTTTCAGGAAGAATTGGACTTCCATCGTAGTAGTCTGCTGGACGTTTGGGTTATCCAGGATAGCAAACGACTTGTCAATCGATTGTTTCTGTCATCGTTGGTTATTCTGATCGTCATTGCGAATGTATTGATGGGTTGCGAGGTAAGAAGAGCGGTT